CCCCCCTTTGTTCTCTTCGGAATGGTTGCACTTTCCCTTTAACGCTCCTCTCTCCGGGAGGCCCGCCACTCGTCACTATCTCCACTAAGTTACCCGTTAAATCATTTTCTTTCCACTCGCTAAGTGATCTCCTTTTTATTCCCATCACAGGCGGGCATTAAATATGAATACGGCTCTGACGAAGAGGCAGCAGAAGAAACAACTAAAAGGGAAAGAAGGAGGGGCCGGGCAATTCAGGATGTCACGAAGTTCAAATCCCGCTAGAGCCTTTCAACGGTATGGAGATGGATGGACTCTGCTGGGCTGAACGGTAGATTTGGCAAGAGCTGGAGGCCGGCTCTGGCAGGAAAAATCCCCCAGCCTGGCCCGGTGCCATCCGCACAGCACACGGCAGCTAAACGCTCCATAATATCCCTTGCGCTCCTTTTTATTAGGCGGATTACCGTCAGGCAGGGATCCTAATTTAATGGAGCTTTTTCCGAAGGGCTTGTTTGCAAAATGTGTTTTGAGAGATTTACAGCAGACACCGAGCAGCGTCAGCTCGCTCCCCGCCATGCTTTCTGAGTCGGCTGGACAGGGGCACCGTACAGCACCCCTTGGGTTGAAGACACGCCCCCTGCCACACCCACTGCTAAGATGGCCATGTACATTACAGAAGGGATGCAACCAGGGACGTAACTAGAAATCACAGGGCCCCATAGCAAAATTTCTATACCCCTTGCAGAGCCCACTTGAGATCCCACACAGCCCACCTGAGGGTGACCCTGCAGAGCCCGCCATAGACTCTCTATGGTGGGCTCTGCAGGGTCACCCTCAGGTGGGCTGGTCGCACTCTTTACCTGTCCGCCTCCTCTTCCTCCACGCTCGCTGATGGGTCCCGCCTCCTCCTCCGTCGCTGGGCCCACCTCCTTCTCCGTCACCGGGCCCCGCCTCCTCCCCTGCTGTCGACCACAGGCCCCGCCTCCTCCACCGCCGCTGTTGGCTCTCATTGACTCAGCAGCGGCTGTGGAGAGGAACGCGCTGCTGCACAGGTTACTGTCAGTGATCTGAACAGCGGCGTGTTCCTCTTCAGAGCCGCCACTGAAAGCCACCAGCAGAGGATACCATAGCGACCCAGACGGCCCGCTCGTCATCTGGCCGGGCCCCCCTGTGCCCCATAGCGGCCGCCTGGGTCGCCATGGCGATTGTTACGCCACTGGATGCAACCAACTAATAGTAATGGATAACGAGAATAGTTGTCAACTATTCTCATTATCGATGAGTTGATCTGGGTCCCCTAGTTCTGCCCAGCAGTGAGCAGAGTTCCAGCAAACCTCCCCACCACCACCCCAGCCACATTGGCTATGCAGCTTTCTCATCTACGCTGGGAGCCTGCTGCATGCTGCCCTGTGATTTCTAGTTACGCCCCTGGTCCCGGCCCTAGAAAGGTTGAGAACCACTGCGATAGAATATTTTCTCAACCATTGCGGCAGATTAATCGTGTGTCCCGTTCCTTCCTCCGGTTCAAAGGTTGTGCTCTGTTGTCTGTTGTACATTTGATAAGGATCAGAACATGACTGTTAAATTGTTAACATTGATCTGAGTGGCTCGAGGACTCGGGGAATGCATTCATCATAAGCTCGCAGAGGTCTTGCCGGAAGCAACACTTCGACTTAATCATTTCCTAATTCACTTCTCGGCACTTAGCATTGAAGACAGACCCAGGGAGAATAAGCGGAGGGGGGATAGTCCCTGGAGAAGGGGTTAAAATAAAATGGGGATTAGCTGATCTTACCAGATTGTAGGTTGGGGGGTCAGGTGTCCGGGAGGATACAGTCCATGAACCCATCGCACTCAAAACCGCTGTTCCATATAAAAGATGGTTGCTGCTGCAGCAGTCGACGGGACGGACACCTAATAACATAGACACCGGCACTCCAAGTGATGAATCAATGGCGTCTGTTTATTGAGGCATGAGACGTAGCACAATGCCTGATGAAGGGGATATTGCGAGACCCCGAAACGTTTCTTTTTGATGCATTGTGCTACGTCTCATGCGTCAATAAACAGATGGTATGGGTGCTTCTCCCCTGTTGGTGTCAGTATTTGTCGTGGGGTCTGGCCCCTTGGAACTTGGGGGCAGTAACTGTCCTCTGGTTGAGGTGCGGGTGGGGATATGGGAGCAGCTTTTTAGGGAGGGGCTGATGGGCACCCAAAGACCCCTTCAGTTGGTAAGATTATTTATTTGTATCTTATTTTGTTTATTACTTTGGTCACTGTTAACATTGGTTGGTTAATAAAAGGGCTGCTGTGGCCATTTAAATCCATGAAACGCAGTCTGTGTGTTTATTGGGGTGGTAACCCCCATAGTTCTCTTTAGGGTCACTGGAGGACATATACCAACCCTACTCCCGTGACCCAAAGCTCAGTATATAGCGGGCTATTGCCGGTTATATACTGAGAGCGCCGCAGCTGTGATGGATCCCGACAATACTGTAGAGATCCACCCAGCTGCGTGAGTGACAGCTGGCTGTGCCTATCTAGAGGCAGAGCCAGCTGTGCCCGCCCCCTCCACTGTTCATTCCTGCACTCAGTGCTGGAGGATCGGAGAGGGGAGGTGGGAATCGGTGACTGACAGTCACCGGTCACTGCAGGGAGACGATTGGATCAGTGCACGTTTCTGCTCACTTCCCGATCGATGGAGCCAACCTGTGACAGCTTCTTTGTCACAGGTTGGCTCTAACGATGAGTGGAAATCACTTACCTCATAGTTCTCCTTTAAGTAGGTGTCAGGAACTGGATCTGAACCCAGGGCCCCTACCTGCTGAGCCACCGTTTCTACCTGCTGAGCCACCTTAGAGCCTTGGATAGCTCTGTGCCTGCTCTCCTGTGTAATCCTCAGGTAAACCGAGTTTCTGCTGAACTCTGAACTCCTTGCTCCTCCCTTGAACTTCCTATTTTAGCCACGCCTCTGCACTTCCTGTTTGCCAGATGATTGTGCTCCTGCCAATATCTTGCTTCCTGCTCCCTCTGTGATACAATCCTCTCATACCGCTACCCGTGTACCGACCTTTGGCTGCTGATTCACCGACTACTCTCATCATCTTCCGCTTCATACCCAATACCTTTGGCTCCTGACCTCGGCTTGATCTCCGTCTACGCTTCTCCTACGCCTATACTACTACCGTCTGCTTGTGTACCGAACTCAGCCTGTTTGACTACGACTTTGCCTGCTGCTTCAGCTACTCCGAGCCTGATCCCAGATCGTGAAGGTAGGTTTTGCGTTGCCATAGACTTGTGTTGGAATGCAAAACCCGCTTGAAGCGAAACACAAGACCATCGACACGTAAGTGGGGTGGAAGAAATTGCTGGGTAACTCCGTGTTTTGATATCCACACAAAAGTCAAACAAGCTTGTTGATAATAGCTAAGGCTGGTAGGCCACAGGCACAAAGACCTCTCTACCACGGTCGCCAAGAATGTATTAAAGTGGCAACGGGTTCAATGCGTTGGTATCCACACAAAAGAGAAATATAAAGGTTTGGGTTAAAGCCAACGGTTGACAGTCATAGTCTTACCCTGTAGTAATCTGTGCTGTAGATATCGCGTGACATCCCAAAATCACCAATCTTCACAATCAGGCTGTTGCCCACGAGGCAGTTCCTTGTGGCGAGATCCCGGTGGACGAAATGTAGAGAAGCCAGGTAGACCATGCCAGACGCTATCTGAGAGGCAATCTGCAACATCTGAGTCAGGTTCAGCTGCCCGTAGGGTTGTCCATTGCCGTTGTCAAGAATCTTGGCATCTGGTCCATGGGATCTGAAAATGATAAAAGATATTTACATTTACAACTGGAACTCCAAACATTACATCCGAGTAACAAACTCAGAAACAGGCTGTACACTACGGCCGACCACTTGGAGGTCTCTCATTGATGTAGGAGATTTTAAAGCTGGCAGTGTAATCAGGGCATTGGACTTGGAAGCCTTAGATAAGACCGATGCTTTGTACAGTGTCACGGTGTGCCGTCAATAACCATAAAAAACAGTGTCTCTGCACTGTACTCTTCAGGACCCGGACACTACTGGACGGCAATGGCAGCGCAGCGTCTAGTTCTAATACCTGCGGGGCCAATCACCTAGTCTCTGTTTATTCCAAGTGATGTACAATCTCCTTATATTTAAGCCTCTCAGACAGCTAATCTAATCAATATTGCAAAGAGGAGTGCATTAGCCAAGGAGATGGCTGCCTAGAAGAGGCAGATTGACAGTCATAATGGGAGGTGAGAGTGGGAGGGGGGAAACGTTGAATGAGGAGTGCTACAGATGAAAGTAGAGGTAGGGGATCTCTCTACAGATGGATCCTGTTGGTCCATCAAATCTGGGGTTTTTTTTTTTAAGGGTGGATAAACCATGATGTGCTTGTTCCCAAATCTGAATAGAGGTTCCTCTTTCTTTCTCTCTTGTACAACCCCCAATCCCCCCAGCCCCATAAAGACATGGCATGACCAGTCTGGTGTGGAGGAACTCGAGTATCCTGCACAGAGCCCTGACCTCAACCCTACTAACACCTTTGGAATAAAGGACAGTTGTGCTCTTCCAGCTTTGTGGTAACACTTTAGTGAAGGCCCTTTTCTGTTCCAACATAACTGTCCCCTGTGTACAATGGGCTCCTACACTTCAGGCTATGGCCAAAGTACATGGAGATCCCTCCAAATGATGGAGTTCAGGTGTCTCCAGTGAAGGTTCTGTTCATCCTACATCATACAAAGACATTGTTGACAATTGTGTTCTTGTGGTCACAGTTTGGTGAAAACCCTTTTCTGTTCCCCCGTGACTGTCCCCTAAGTACAAAGCCAGCTCCATAAAGACACGGTGTGACCGGTCTGGTGAGGAGGAACTCAAGTGTCCTGTACTGTGTCCCGTCCTCTACTGAACCCCTTTGGAATTGAGTGGAATGCTGGTTGTGTACCAGGTCTTCTCAAACAACATCAGTAAGTGACCTCACAAATGGGAACAAATTCCCACAGACACCATCCATATGATTGAGGTCAGCTGTCTCCAGTGAGGGGTTCTGGTGATCCTCCATCATACAAAGACATTGTAGACAATTGGGCTCTTCCAGCCTTGTGGTCAGAGTTTGATGAAGACCCTTTTCTGTTCCCACCATGACTGTCCCCTGTGTACAATGGGCTCCTACACTTCAGGCTATGGCCAAAGTACATGGAGATCCCTCCAAATGATGTTCGGTTCATCGTCCATCATACAAAGACATTGTAGACAATTGTGTTCTTGTGGTAACAGTTTGGTGAAGACCCTTTTCTGTTCCACCATGACTGTCCCCTGTGTACAAAGCCAGCTCCATAAAAGACATGGTGTGACCAGTCTGGTGAGGAGGAACTCAAGTGTCCTGTACAGAGCCCTGACCTCAACCCTACTGAACGCCTTTGGAATAAAGTGGAATGCTGGTTGTGTACCAGGTCTTCTCATCCAACATCAGTACCTGACCTCACAAATGGGTACACATTCCCACAGACACCCTCCTTATGATTGAGGTCAGCTGTCTCCAGTGAAGGTTCTGGTGATCCTCCATCATACAAAGACACTGTAGAGAATTGGGCTCTTCCAACCTTGTGGTAACACTTTAGTGAAGGCCCTTTTCTGTTCCACCATGACTGTCCCCTGTGTACAAAGCCAGTTCCATAAAGACACAGTGTGACCGGCTTGGTTGCGGAGTAACTCGAGTGTCCTGCACAGAGCCCTGACCTCAACCCTACCCCTGTGTACAAAGCCAGTTCCATAAAGACACAGTGTGACCGGCTTGGTTGCGGAGTAACTCGAGTGTCCTGCACAGAGCCCTGACCTCAACCCTACAGAACACATTTGGGATGAATTGGAACTCCGACGGTGGTCTTTTCATTCAACTTCAGCACATGACCTCACAAATGAGACAAATTCCCACAGACACCCTCTGAAGTCTTGTGGAAAGCCTTTACAAAAGAATGGAGGCTGTTATAGCCAAAAAAAGAGGGTCAACTAACTTTATATTAATGTTCATGGTTTTGCAATGGGATGCCCAACAAGGTCATAGAAGTGTGATGTTTGGGTGTGTTGTGGAAAAGGGCATTTTTAATATTCTGTGGGCCCTTTCTTTTTCTGGCATTTCCTGGCTCCCTTTTTAAGATGGCCGTCTCTAAGAAGCCAGACTCGTACACCCTGAGTTTTTTTGTCATGGTTCTGTATAGATATGGTTATTTCCTGTACCCACTGGCTCAACTAAAATGATATATGAGGCCACCAGATGAATAAAAAGAGAGGACAATAATTTGGACTCAGCAGGAGAAAGCTGCATGAGACTCTGGGCCTCATTTATGAAGTCCACCGTGTCAAGAAGTGCCTCAGATAACTGGTTCTGCTCTAAGGCAACCAAGATGATTCTTGCTTCTCCTATACTGCACTGGGAGTATGGTAGCCATGGACAGAGCGATTTCAGCAAAAGTGGAAATTTTGCTCATTGAGGGAGACTCATTTAAAAGGAGAACTACGGGGTCAGGATTTTTCCCCATAGTTCTCCTATGGGTCACGGGAGAACACAATCTAGTGTCCTCCCATGACCCAAAGCTCAGTATACCACGGTATACTGAGACGCCGCAGCCTGGATGGATCCCGACATTACTCTCTGGATCCACCCAGCTGCGTGAGTGACAGCTGGTTCTGCCTATCTAAAGGCAGAGCCAGATGTGCCTGCCCCCTCCCCCGTCCGTTCCGCCAGTCAGCGCTGGAGGATTGGGGCAGGGAGCCGTGACAGTCACCACTCTCTGCAGTGATAGATCGAGAAGTGAGCGAGCAGCGGTATGTGTTCGCTCACTTCTCGAACTACTGCGACTTGCTGTATTTTCTTTCTTTTAAACCTATAAAAATAACGAGGAGTCCTTTACTGGCACAAGAACAGGTCCAGGGTAGGAGACAAGAGCTTCTATAACCTTCGAAAACCATTTCAACCCCAATGTGACCTCAAAAACTAGGAAAACCACCTTCATGTCACCTTCCCCCATGACCTCCCTTACAATGGTGACATTTCAGGAACATTATAAATCTCACTCTTCCCTGGTGATTGACATTTACGGGTTGTGGTTTCTTCTGACCTGAGGAAGCGGTTGAGGTCTCCGTGTTTCATGTATTCAAACACCATGAGGAGGGGCTCTCCTTCAGTGCACACGCCGTAGAACTTCACGATGTGTTCGTGTTGTAGGACAGTGAGGAGCTCGGCTTCGCGCTGGAAGTCCTGTCGGGCGTTCTCCGACGCCTCTTTGAGGGCCTGGAAGGACATGAAAAATGATCATTCTCAAAGCTTTTTAAGTGTTTTATTGAAAAGACTGAATAGCGATATATAATTTATTAATAATATCTAAATCCGGAGGTTTCAGTGGTGGCTTCATGGAAACAAGTCGAAGTTCTTGGTTGCTTACATCTCTCCAGGAGTGAGAGTTTTAGGAGAAAACAGGAGCCAAAGAACGCAATTAGATGTCAATTAAAGGAGAACTATGGGGTCAGTGTTTTCCCCCATAGTTCTCCTTAGTGTAACGGGAGGACACAAACTAGCGTCCTCCCGTCACCCTAAGCTCAGTATATAGGGAGCTACAGCTCGCGGTATACTGAGACAGCGCAGACGAAGCGGATCCCGACATCGATGTCTGGATCCGCCCAGCTGCGTGAGTGACAGCTGGCTCTGCCTATCTAGAGGCAGAGCCAGCTGTACCCGCCCCCTCCCCCGTCCGTTCTGCCAGTCAGCGCTGGCAGATCGGAGTGGGGAGAGGGGATTCCCCGGTATGTGTTCGCTCACCTCCCGATCTACTGAGCCGACCTGTGACAGTCTCATTGTCACAGGTCGGCTAGAACTATGAGGTGAGTGAAAAGCACCCCCCTCATAGTTCTCCTTTAACCCAAAACTGTGTTCGGTTATGAATGTGGTGTGATGGGCTGAGTCATGCGTTCCCTTAATTTATCTTCTGGAGGCTCCAGAAGAAGTTTCTCATAAGATACAGTTCCTGGCACACCTCCTGGCCATCCTAAAGTTTAGGGTGTTGCCAGACCTCCTAATGCTTGCCTGCTGTATAATATAAACTCAACACGGGGACAGGGGAACTCCCCCCCCCATAAACCCAGAGGATATGGTTGATATGCAGGCCTTCAGCTTATGCGCTGAGATCTTGCCTTCAAAGAGATATATGAAACTACTAACTCTACTGAAAATAGAGACAACAGTCTTATGTAGACTAACCCTTTAACGGCAAGGCGTTAAGAATCATATATGAGTTTGAAAAGATAAGGTGGACATAGACACTTGATGACAGGCAGGGCCGAATTTCCCACACGGCCAACCAAGGGCTGGCCTAGGGACAGCAGGGGTTTGGAATTCCTATCTCCTGATGCCCGGGACATGCAGTTCGAAGTCCTGGCGGGTAGTTGTGGTCTACATTTAGCCCGGCTCTGGGCAAGCAGAGCTCCGTGTACAGCCGCTTGTTTTGTACAAGTTATCTCAGGCGATGTCGAAAGTAAATCCGGGCCTAATGACAGGCTCTCCATCTAGCACTGACCAACAAGTCCAATGAAGAACCCAACAGTTCCGTACATGGGTTCTCAAAGACCAAAATGATTAGAAAACCTTGACTGGCCACTGTCATTGGAAGTGTCCCCCTTTTTATTTACCAGAAAGAGCCGTGTTTGTGTGTCTACAGTCTTTCAGTATAGCAAAGAAACTGGCCAAGGAGACAATGTAACACCTGCACCTCCGGCAGGTCTCCCGTGTCTATGGCTAGTGGCTAGATTTAGAATCCAAATGTTTTTGGAGCATTGGCTACACGGCTCTTGAGAGTGGATGGTTTCTAGGAAAACTTCTGATAGTTTCCAGGTATATGGCCAGTGCCACTGTCCTATCCAAGTTTGTGACTGGGTTGGAATGTGTGACCGATGATGTGGTCACACATTTTAACGTAATCACGCCCAGTTTTTCGGCGTTGGAATCTGCAACCGGCAAAAGGTGAAGAATGCCAACGCTTTCTCAGCTGTTCCAGGGCAGATCGGCATTGCAGATCGATATGTGCAGGAGAACCGACCTGCCCCCGGAACAGCTGATCGCTCCTGAAATGTCACTTCTATCCGGCTTTGTGACCGCGACCTGACATTCCACAAAGTCGGATAGAAGTCACATTACAGGACCGATCAGCTGTTCCAGGGCAGGTCGGTTCTTCTGCAATTGCCTTGCCTTGCGGTAGCGCCGGGCCTGGGTAGAGCAGGTAAAGGTTAGAACCTCACTATGGTCTTCATGCTGCTGAACTGCTTAGACTTTCCCAAACTCTTCCTGTCCCAGTGATAAACCTATCACCAAGACAGGAAATTAGGGGGGATCTCTGATGCCAAAACAGTAGTGTGGTGGCCCGCACCCCGCCCCCAATCTATAAACAATAAAGGATCTGTTAATAAATGTTTTAACCAGGATTCAATAATTAAATACATTCCGAAAACGTGTGAATCTTGTGTGAAAACATTTATCAACCGATCCCCAAAGTGTTTTTATTTCGCTTCCCGTGTCTCTGTTGGAGGATTCTTTTTGCTTTTTTACCGGTTGGCAATGTTGTCACCAGTTAAGGAAGTGAAGAGAAGTTTTTTTTAATGGAGCCACAAAGAAAATACTTTCAAGTCACCTTCACAGCCACCAGGGTCTTGTCATGTTGTGACGTCAGGTTGTAGCATTCGGCCAGATAGACCTTTCCAAAGGCCCCTTCGCCCAGCTCCCACTTGGGCAAAATGTCTCGTCTCTTGATGTGCTGGACACCTATAGGGCGAAACGTCTCGGTGAGCTGGAGTATCTAACCCTCGTCATACGCCATACAGTGTTGGTTGCACCGTTGGCCCTCCACAGCTATTTCCTGGGGCACATCTACAAAACATGAGTCCCTGGACATGACTAAGGTAGCTGGAGGTACCTTGGTTAACCTTTTACCATAAAACCACAACCCCTCCCCCCAACCCAATTAATACACTGCAGGAAAGGGTGGAGTCCAAATGGCCACAGCAGACGTTTATTACAAAACTTTATAAATTACATATATAAATAAACAACAAAACAACCAATAACTATACTGTATACCAAATTGGTTTCAAGGTCCTTGAAGGCACTTTAACTCTCTCTCTCTCTATATACATATATATATATACCGACCAGTATCTGCGGGCACATTTTATACCTGACTGCCTCCAGCCGCCATACACCGCTTCGGGGAGGTAATAAAATTACCCGCGGACCCACATTGGTCCCTATTACCCGGTCGTAACCAGTTGACCTTACCACCACCGAAGGAAACCCATACCACCGATGGGTCCCCCGTCAAGATATGCAAGTACAGACCAATGCCCTCAAGGATCCCAAACTGCCAAACACAGCTGTGACAAACTACACAACAACAAGGACACACATACAACCGATGGGTCCCCCCATCAAGATATGCGAGCACAGACCAGTGCCCTCAAGGATCCCAAACCGCCAACCACAGCTGTGACATACCACGCAACAACCCCAGCACCCATAACAAGTGCGGGCGGGTGGGAAGTTCGTCTCTTCTTCTGCCGGACAGCAAACTGAACTCCTGAGACACCTCCTTCCTGCCTTCCCTCCGAAGCCCCTTCCGCAAGCCCCCTACCCACCAATACAGTAAGTGAACTCCTTCTGACCCCTTTTCCACTTTCCTTAACCCTTTCCTACCCTAGTTCCCCTTGTCACTCTTGTCATGTAGGCCTTAGACTTATTCCTTTCCATTCCATTGCTCCAGGCCTATCTTCACTCGGCAACTATGATGGTGCTGCCTGCATAGTGATTTTTCTAGGCACCTGGACCTATCCTGGCGAGTTCCCGTCCATGACAAATGCCGCCATATGGTTCTAGGAGAGACCCCCCGCCAGTCTATGTCTAGCCCGAGTCTCTATCTGCCATTTACAAGAGTCCATGACAAATGCCGCCATATTGTTCTAGGAGAGACCCCCCGCCAGTCTATGTCTAGCCCGAGTCTCTATCTGCCATTTACAAGACGTGGAGAGGAACTCACAAGCGTCGCAGAAGTATTGCGGATTCTCAATGAAGTTGGGCTTCACCCCATCCAGCTTCCCTTCAGCAGAAGTGAGAGGACTGGCCCCGAAGTTCATGAAATGGAGGGACATCGCCAGGTCGTCTTCCTGCGCCAGCACGGCCGCTCCTAAAATACAAGGAAAGCGAAGACAGGTTTACTGCGATATCCTACGCCAATAGGACATGGGGAAAGCCTGGCCGCTGGCGGGATCATTTAAAGCCGAACTCGGAGCAGATATAAAAGTCACACATTCAACCCGCTCTGTATCCTTATCATTACGTTTCATCGTCTTAATGTAAGCAGTGTAAGTGCCGGAGTTTGGAGACCTGGGAACCCGGGATCAGTCTCTGGCGGCCAGAGGTGTATCTGCTATAAAATGCGCCTGTGGCACCCCGTCCAGCTCCTGGCAACCAGTGACGTCACTGGCGGGTCGCCGGCCAGAGTGAAAAAAAGTCAGCTGTCTCCATAGGTCGGCAAACTGCCTTACGCAGCGGTGCCCCCCCCCCCTTCCCCTTCAAGTGGCACCCAGGGCACGTGCCATACACTGAATACCCCAAGCCTTGCAGCCCCTGTACAGCAGAGCTTAGTGAGACGGGGAAAGCAGCCCAAAGAGCTGATCAGTTATCCTGCAGTGCTCAGGGCTGGATTTACTCTCTCTGCTGGCCCAAGGCCAGGTTCCTCAATGCGCCCTCCTACTCGCCAACCCTCCCCTTATGGAGAATGGCAGACCTGCTGGCCGCATACAAGTCATCTCGGTGACATAATTTGTACAAAACAAGTGGCGGCTTTCCCGCTGTACATTTAGCTTGGCTTGCCCAAAGCAACAACTACCCGCCCGGCGCCTGGAACTGCCTGTCAGGAGATATGAATTCCACTCCCCTGCTGCCCCTCTACTCCATGCTGCCCCAAGGCCGGGCCTTGGTTAGCCTTGTGGGAAATCCGGCCCTGCATGTGCTAACAAGGAACATGTAGATAAGAGGAGAGAGCAGAGTGACAGAGAGATGAGCTCAGCAATCTGCTGCTTCTCCTTTCACTGTCCAGTCACTGCTTGGGGTAGGGACAAGACCTTCTCTGCAGCAGAGAAGGGGCCTGTTGTGCTGCTAAACATGGCTTGGCTGTGTGGCAGAGTTGCGTAGATCTCAGGACTGGACGGACAGAGATACAAATCCTATGCCTTCCATCTCTGTGTTTGCCTGTAATAAAGCAACATTAGAAGGAGGGAGGGTGTGTGCACAGTCACAGTGGTCACCCTAAAATGTGCAAGTAACGTAAGACCTCCACCAGCTACCCGGGATAATTGATTAATTAATTCATTCATTCATTCATACATACATATGTTTTCCTTTGAGCAGCACACATAAATAAAACATTAAAATAAAAGAGAAGCGTAGAAGAATAAAACAAGTGGAGTATCCCTTTAAAATATTGAATTGGTACGCCTGACCCCCGCACAAGCCCCTCCCTTCTCCTAAAACTGGCATTTCGTTCCATGAAAACAGTTGCAGCCGGGAAATAAGAGTGTTTATAACTGTTTCCACATTGTACGGAGTCCCTGCAGGCCCCGCAACAACTCTCTGTAGTACAGAAAGCATCGGGCAATCTATACCTTTAAATGGCGGCTTAAATGCTCCCGGCCGTTCGGTAATGTCTCCATTCATTTTTTCCACTTACTGAGTAACACGAGCAGGATCCAAAACGAAAGACGGATCAATATGTGTATGGAGCGGACACGCGGGGGAACAGGGAATACAGAAATATATACACTGTAAATATATATATATATTCTCTATGACAATAGGGCTTAAAGTGAACCGGTTCTGGATGAGAAGAGAGAACGGTGCTAAAAATAAAAATTCTGAAAATTGTTCTTCCGGTGGTCGGGAACTTCTCACAATCAAGACCTTCAACCTCTCTGATCCTCCCAATGTGTAGCTTCTGAACGCGACAAGCCATCCCGGTATCCAATGAGGAGACGTTCTATTGTACATTGGCATATCCCATTGGATACAAAGATGGCGGCAAAGCTCCGGACATCAGAGAAGCCGTGGATCCTGGTTGCAGAGCTTGGCCAAGTTTGGTTGGTCTGTGGAGAATAATTTAGGTCGTTGAGTTGCGTTGCTCAACATTGCTCAATGCAAGGACACTGAGAAGACAATTGTCCTCTATGTCCTCTGTATAGAGTTGGTGTTCGTTGCATACCTGGATGTAATAATAAGCAGCTCACTGCAGAAAAACCCATCACAATGCACCTCATTGCAACTCACTGTTGTACATTGACATTGGATGGCGCCAAAGCTCCAGACATCAGAGAGGTCATGTATCCTGGTTGCAGAGGTTCACCAAGTTTGGTTGGTCTGAGACCATGTGGAGGAAAATCTAGGTCGTTGAGTTGTCTTGCTCAACATTGATCAATGCAAGGACACTGAGAAGACAATTGTCCTCTATGTCCTCTGTTTAGAGTTGGTGTCCGTTGCATACATGGATGTATTAATAAGCAGCCCACTGCCGAAAACCTATTACAATGCACCTCATTGCAACTCACTCTTATACCCTGACATACCCCACTGTATAGCGCCAACATCAGAGAAGTCATGTATCCTGGTTGCAGAGCTTGGCTGAGTTTGGTTGGTCTGAGACCATGTGGAGGAATATTTAGGGCGTTGAGTTGCGTTGCTCAACATTGACCAATGCAAGGATGCTGAGAAGACCATTGTCCTCTATGTACCCTGTGTACGGTTGGTGTACGTTGCATACATGAATCTATTAATGTACAACGCATAGCAGGACAACCTGTTAAAATTCACTGTGTTGCAACTCCCTGATGTACATTGACGTACCCCATTGGATGTTGCCAAAGCTCTGGACATCAGAGAAGTCACGCATCCTGGTTGCAGATGCTTATCCAAGTTTTGGTTGGTCTGAGACCATGTTGAGGAAAACTTAGGGCGTTGAGTTGCCTTGCTCAACATTGCAAGGACACTGAGAAGCCAACTGTCCTCATTGTACCCTGTTCTCATGAGTTATACAGGTAAAATGGGGGTGAATGGGCCCTTCGACACAACTGAAGGAATATGAAGGCCCCTTGTGGTGTGTGTACTGTTCAGTGTTACATTGTTTCATCCATGACAGGTTCACTTTAAAGGGTATGTAAAGCCAAAACTCTTTTTTTTTTAACCTTGGATAGAATGTGGAGGTCAAACGTCCTTGCTTGGGCACTTCCTGGTATGGAGTGACAACTTTAAAGTGCACCTGTATGGTCACCCTGTCACATGCTCCCTGGTAAAAACTACAAGTGGCTGTCCTGACACACATTGCACAGACACGGTCCACCATTGTTTGAAGCGGGTCCAGGGCAATGATGTGCAGCCAACACACGGGGTGCATACAGACAGGAAGTGTCCGGAATAGGCTGCGGGAGATGTATAAAGGATGAAAAGAGTATTTCCTGTGAATAAATGCCTATGGCTTATGACACACAGAGCTGCAACTGTCACCCACACGAGGTGTAGATCTGTTTTCACCATGAATTCCTCATCACTGCGGCGGAGCACAAAGGGTTCATGTTAATTGCTCTGTAGACTTCTGCAGCATCTTTTCCATCTTACCCCTCGCGCAGTCCGCACTGAGCTCTCCAGCCTATAGCCGCCCCCCCTCCCCCCCAGGGGAATCAGACGCATCAAACCCATTTAAGGCTTGAGTCAATTTCAAAAGCGAATTAGCAGCTTCTTAGGAGGCTGGCGCAGAAGAGGCCGGGACTAATGAAGTGCGGCTTCCAAACACCGTCTCCTCGCTTTAGTTAAAGTCTAGAAAATGCAGTTATGTATATCGCCGGAAAAAACCCGCAAAAACAATTTCCGTAAGACCGCTCGCAATTTAAAGCTGAACTCCAGACAAGCAGCTGAATACGCAGATGACATACAGTGGGCTAGTGTAAGATAGAGAAAAGAGCAGGGTAACCTCTTATGGGCCAACCTGGTGGGATAGACAGGGCCACAGCTATACAGTTGCTTGGTGCTGCCCTCAGAGGAGATAGCACTCGTTCTTCCACAAGTGGGTCTCACCAGAACAACTTGAAACTCTATTGACTGAACACCCTTCTGAGGGCATAAGTCAGGTATTGGACCGGCCACGAATAATGGACTGTTTGGTTTAACTTTACCCTATGTAAAGATGAGTTGAATCAGAAGATGGCCGGAGTTTCTCTTCTGCTGGATCGCAGGGTGGCCTATATGTAGAGGACGAGACTGACTTGGTTAGGAATCTGATGGTGGCCAGGAGATGGAAGGTTGGCCAACCTGGTGGGATAGACAGGGCCACAGATAGACAGTTGCTTGCTGCTCCCCTCAGAGGAGATACCACTCGTTCTTCCACAAGTGGGTCTCACCAGAACAACTTGAAACTCTATTGACTGAACACCCTTCTGAGGGCATAAGTCAGGTATTGGACCGGCCACGAATAATGGACTGTTTGGTTTAACCTTTTCTCTATGTAAAGATGAGTTGAATCAGAAGATGGCCGGAGTCTCCCTTCTGGTGGATTGCAGGGTGGCCTATATGTGGAGGATGAGACTGACTTGGTTAGGAAACTGATGGTGGCCAGGAGATGGAAGGTTGGCCAACCTGGTGGTGGTGGAGTCGCTCACCTGGACTACATGCCTTATAGTCTGTGCCCTTGTTTAGGCTGGACAACAGCAAGACCCCTCAATAGACCTGGCCTGCAACCACAGTATCTAGGGCCCCATCCAACTATGTTGTGACAAGTAAGTTTGACTTTCCCGACCAGGCCCATGAGTGAACCAGAGCAATGGGAGGGTTTTTTAACGTTCCTTGATGAAAAAACTTTACCGTAGGCCCCAGAGCTGGAACTGGATTAACAATCCACTGCTGGGGTGTGTGTGTGTGTGGGGAGGGGGGGGCGGAGGGTTTGTTGCGCTGTAATGTTAATTATGGGTGAAATAATAGTTTTATCTGAAGTATTTCAAATTTCGGAGTATAAGGTGAAAATTCCACTCCTTCTATTTACACAGTTTTTATCTCGTTAGCGGACGCACCACCGCTGGTAGGCCAGCTCCGTGAAGAGCGGAAACTTGCTGATGTGTGTTTATTTAGCAAATACAGAGCATAGCAGAAATCATTAGAAGATGGAAGAGGTTGTCATGTCACCCGGGGCGGATTATTTGGACAACCTCGGCTTCACCTTTTCTCCGGACTTTTTCTTACCTCTTACATAAAGCTGTTTTCTAGACCAGAGGGAGTTCTTTGGTCCTGTGTATCGCATCAGCAGGCTGCCACTAAAAATCCATGTGCCGATAACATGGAAAAACATGGAAAGGGCCGGGTCCGGGGACAGCCTTGAGGCTATTATTTCCAATGTTAGCAATGGCAGCCTTGAGGCCTAATAAACAGCTTAGTATGTAGAGCCAGTGGCGTAACAATAGCCATAGCGACCCAGGCGGCCGCTACGGGGCCCGGGCACGGGGGGGCCTGGCCAGGACACCCCCCTGATGCCGTGCGGGCCGCCTGGGTCGCTATGGGTTCGAACGCACCGCTGTTCACATAAGAAATCACAGGGCCCCAGTTCTAGTTACGCCCCTGTGTAGAGCCCCATTGTGCCGGGTTGTTCTAGACTGGACCTACAGGTAAAACAATTCCAACGACGGGCTGTTAGAACCCCAGTTCATAGTTATAGTATTTGAGGTTGAATAAAGACATAAGTCCATCAAGTCCAACCTATTGCGTGCATGTATATGGTTCTGCTGAGGTGTGCGCATGTATAGGTCCTTGTGTGATCTCATTCTTAAAAGTTCCATCGCTCCGGATCCATTCCATTCAGTATTGGGGCCATGCCAGAAAACACTCCATCACATATACTGTACATGAAGGGTCCCTCAGTTTTCCTTGGTTCCAGGTCTAGTCCATCAGGATTCCAGGCTGCATTGTGCACGGTACACACGGAGGACCCTACTCACCACCACCAAGCAGAAGGACCATGCATTGCTAGGCCACCACCAGTATCCCGATCAGTATTGGTCACAAAGTCTCTGATCCCATGGTATAGGTTTACCCTCCGTTCCAGAAGAATAAAGAAGCGACACGGTCCGACTTCTTTTTTTAGGCTTTTGGGATGGTGTGCACAAACAATTTAACGATCAAATGTGGATTTTTTCAGGACTCAGGTGTTAGTCCTCATTCCTGGGCTGCTCTAGTCCATATCCATGGCCCAAGGCTGGGGGGGGATTTCCTCTAAACCAGTGGTTCTCAACCTGTGTAACCTCAGGACCCACATTTTTCCTTGGTCTCCAGTCTCCCTACCATATGAGAACTGGAATGGATCCTCAGCCTGGTGTCCAGTGTGGGCTGCTGTGCTGTGACGGAGTTCCATCCATATGTGAATTGTTTGTACAGCTCCCTTACTCGCCCTGTACAGGTGCCAGGAGTCAGAATGTGACGTCAGTGCAGTCTAGGCACCTCTACAGGGCACATTTGGGAGCTGTAAGCAATGCACAAATGGATGGAGCTCACTTATGGCCATACTTCCAGCCCACTCCATCCCACCTGACACGCAAGGCATATTTTGAATGGCTGCTCGGCACAGGAACTGACATTGCTGCGCTAGGGGGAGGCTGAGGAGTCTCTCACCCAGAAGCAAGACATGTCACGACCCACCAGTTGAGAACCAAGGCTCTAAACCCTTCTCTACTCTGTTGTGTCCAGCTATCCTGATTTGTCCCCCTAAGGGAGAATGTTCAAGGTTTGCCCTCAGGAGAAGTCACATGGTACTTCAAATGAACTACAGCTAGCCCCATACTTCCCACTGGGTTCTCTCTTGCCTGAGCACTCCCCCCCCCTTGATTGTCAACTACCACTCCCTGCATACACCTAACCCTTTCTGCTAAAGGGGACAATGCCTGCCTATGGCTAGTGGGGCTACAAGCAGGACACCGCTCCGATAGCGCTGACTGGCGGAATGGACGTGGGATGGGGCGGGTACAGCTGGCTCTGCCTCTAGATAGGCGGAGCCAGCTGTCACTCACGAAAGGGGCGGATCCAGACATAATTGTCGGGATCCGCTTCACCTGCGGCGTCTCAGTATACTGCGAGCTACAGCTCGCGGTATACTGAGCCTAGGGTGACGAGAGGACGCTAGTTTGTGTCCTCCCGTTACCCTAAGGAGAACTATGGGGAAAAGCCTTAACTCAGACTCACCACTCGGTCTTCCAGTGAAGGTCCTCTTTAGGTTTAAAATGATGCCCAACATTATTCACTTCTTGTAACCCTGATATCATGGACATACCCACCCGGGGGTACATCACCTCACCAGCCTGGGCTCATAGGAGAATGCTGCAGAAAAAGACCCTCACTCCTCTACTTGAGGGCCGTCCTCTCAGCATAGAGTACCTCTGTTACTCTGCCGTCCAGTCACCTCTAGCGGTGACTGAAGCTGTAAACATTGTCAATGGGATGGCTGGCCTGACCTATGTTACTTACATCACTATGACCGGCGTTGCTGTGAGATCTATTGCTTGGGCTGACTTGAGATTACAGTCATCAATTCCTCGTTATCTCCAGTTTTATGGCATCCTGCCTTCCTTCCATTGATATATATTGATCCCGCAGTCCCGTAGAAGGCCAAGGTGAAAGGAAACACACACGCCTTCTGCTCTAAACGAGGAAGGTACGGAGACCCAGGAGGTGCTTTATTGTACGTCAGGAATCGCAAATCGTTTTAAAGGGCAGCGCGTGTTGGGGCCACGTTCATGGTCATGTCAGCGACAACAAATGCATGGCCCAGATACCGATGAATAACGAACTCCAATGAAATATCTGAAAGCCTGGTTATAGTAGGTGATCTGTCTTACCAAAAGACCCTTCATATATATAGCCAGTGATCCAGACTGCACAGGCAACGTCTGCACTCCCTGAGACCTCTCTGCAGGTAACTAAAACAACCTGGTCTGGGACCCGCCCCAGCCTGTGATTGGACAGTGATGGAGCACCAGGACACTGAGCAGTTCACCGCTCTGCTTTTTCATCCTGTTGGTAAACGTCCAGGTGTTAGATGGACAGCAATGTGCAATGCAGTAGAACCGACAGGCTCATAGTGCCGACTCCTTTACCTACCCCCTGTGCACACTATCTATATAGTACGCTCTATGCACATCATCCACAGACCCCGGGTCAAGTGTCACTAGAGTAACAGAATACTGGTATTATCAAGATATTATCAGGAAACTCTTGAGGAAGTGGCATGCTTTAGTGGTGTACACCATTGCTACTCTTCCCATTCACTGGAATGTTTTATAGATCTCTTGTATCATTTACCTGGGTTCAGGGCCGGATTTCCCACAAGGCCAACCAAGGCCCGGCCTCGGGGCAGCAGGGAGTAGAGGGGCAGCAGGGGTGTGGAATTCCTATCTCCTGATGCCCAGGACATGAAGTTCCAGGCACTGGGTGGGTAGTTGTCTACCACATTTAGCCCGGCTTTGGGCAAGCAGAGCTAAATGTACAGCGGGGAAGCTGCCGCTTAGCGATCTTAGCGATGTCGCCATTCTCCATGGGGGGGGGCGGAGGTTGGTGGATAGGGGGGCGCATTGAGGAACCTGGCCTTGGGGCAGCAGAGAGAGAGTAAATCCGGCCCTGCCTGGGTTACACCATCTCTGACTCTTAGGACTTGTAGCCATTATACTGACTATATAACAATTTGTCTTTTATGTTTTTTTTGTCGCTGATCTCTTCTATTCTGATGTCGGGGTTTCTGCTTTCATCTTCTTTTACTCTTTGGACACTTGGCCCCGGGTCAACTCTGCAACAAGCTCGGCAGTGTGTGGCGGGTTATGAATGCATGTACGAAGGCTGACGGCGAGGTCCTCAGCACTAGTCACCTGCTGTGGTTCCATTCCACCCACGGACTTGGCCCACCATGAGGTTATGTAACCATTACAAAAAAGGAACTTCTTGAGGTTTTAGTGATGCATGCTGTACAGGACGCCAGGAATGGGTCCCGGGTGGACGGTACATCCCTCCCTTGTTTAGGTGGGTGGTCCCGTTAAGGTCGCCTTGTATTCTGGTTTCTCGACAAGCAGGGTGAGGAGTTCCGGGGTCGGACTCGTAAGGGAAACTGCTAGGCGGTCTTCCCGGGGTTGTTAATTATACACGGGGTCCCGGAATCCGGAGGCTCAGAGAGATTTTTGGGGCGGAACAGAGCCTCCATCCCTGACTACAGCCAGTTCTGGTAATGAAAGGGTTAACCCACCAGCCGGAGGGAACAGGAAGCCAGTCAGTCTGTCTGGGAGGAGTGTTTGGAGCAGGACACATGGCTGTGCGTGTTAAGCTGTGGAATACAGTCTACCCAGACACTGCTGGGGCACCTGTGTCCATACTGGAAGCCTCTGTGAGCAGGCGGGGACTCTAACCCTGAGGCGGGACTCTAACCCTGAGGTGGGACTCTAACCCGGAGGCGGGACTCTAACCCGGAGGCGGGACTCTAACCCGGAGGGGGGACTCCAACCCTGAGGCGGGTCTCCAACCCTGAGGCGGGACTCCAACCCTGAGGCGGGACTTAGCATACAGACGCTGAGCCGAATCTTGTCTTTGCTGAATAGAAGCCATTTACTTTGATTGCTTGTGGAAAAGAATACAAGTTTATTTGCCGATACGGCCGGCTACGGGTCATATCCGCCCCGGAATATTACAATGCACACAAAGGTCTCATTGAGCGTCCGCCCCGCAATACCAGCGTGATTGGAGGAGGTTTACACATGATTTAATATTAAAACAAAACTTACGGTTGATTCCAAACTTCGAATGTCTCCCGCACTTGTTGAGCACAACCAGCAGGAGGAGAAGGAAGAAGCAGGCGAAGACGGCCAGTCCCACAGCCACCGAGACCTGATAGGAAACACAACGCGCCCAGTGAACCTTCTCTAGTTCCATTGCATCATCAAACGTTAAGTCACACAAGATAGTCAGTTCATTCGAGGTGCTCACAGCTGCACCGTATAATGATACATAATGCGCATAACCACAAGTTGGAGAATCTTTTTTTTATTTATTTGCAATGCTAAAGTTAAACTTTATTATATTTTTGAGTTTATAGTTTTAAAAAAAATATTTTTTAAGTCAGAGAAAACTCAAATATCTTAAAAACTCGACTACCAGACTATTTACAATTAGTCTATAATTCATATGTATATTTAAAATGCATTACAGCACTATAGTGGAGTATTGCTTTAAATTCACATTTGGAAATGTGTGTCTTTATGCGGGTGAGGGTCGAGAGCAGAACGTGATCGGAGACGGAGAAGAGCAGGCTTGCCGCAAGGTCTTGGCAGGAGTTCCGTTCATAAATTTGAATATGTCTTCAATTTATCAGAGACCCCGCAAGACCTTATTTTGCATTGGAAAAGTTTTCGGCAGAAATACCGGTATTTACCGAGTATCACTTAGTGGTTTTTGCTTTCCCCTCGGACCTGATTTTTATTTTCCTATTTCATGGCCAACAAATTAACATGTTGTTAAATGGACGTAGATTACATGCGGTGGGATAATGGCTTGGAATAGCTTCTTGTGGTTCCTCAAGGTGTGATTGTATTAGAACCCACAGTAGAGGAACTCCAATATTTACTATTTCTTTATAAAATGACCTCTTTATAAAACCCCAAGGCGAGTAACGATGGAAAACCTGACGGAATTTGGTCTAATGAGGGTCAGGTCTGCTTCACCACTTTGCTTGTCATGTAATGAAGAACACAGCAGGCCCTCTTGGCCTTTTGTAAGGTGTGCTTACATAGTTCCTCCTATCGTAGTAAAGCATCAGAGGTCCATTACTGGAGAAAGACAGGCCGGGAGCTATGGAACGAAGTGTAATGAGCGTAAGGCCTGCATGACAAGGGTGGGAAAGGGAACCAGGAGAGGAAAGGGTTAAAGAAAAAGGAGAAGTTAATTTGAGGAGGGATTGGAGGAGAAGGCTTTATAGGAGGGGCTTCGGAGAGTATCTGGGAAGGAGGAGTTCCAGGAGCCAGCGTGACCAGGAGAAGGAACAGGACTTCCCGCCCATCCATCGGTGATGTTTGGCCTTCTGTGGTGGTAAGGTCAAACGTTATGACCTGGTGACCACGGTGTGTCTGCGGGCAATTTAAGTACGTCCCTGAGGCGGTGTATGGCGGCTGGGGTCATTCAGGTTTAGGAAAGGTGCCGATTTTGGATAGTTATATTGCCTTCAAGGACCTTGAAACCTAACAAGTCCTACTGTACGGTTATTTGGTTATTGTTGTTTTTTGTTGTTATTGATAAGAGTTATTCATAAAGTTTTGTAATAAAAGGATGCTGTGGCCATTTATACTCCAGCCCTGGTGTAGCGTGTTAATTGGAAGGAAGGGGAGGGGAAATCGAAGGTAAAGGGGGTGGTAGGCGGTTAAGGGGGACCTCTGAGCTACCTTAGTCCAGGGCATCAGCTTGTGGCTGGAGGAGGTCATTCCGTGGGGGAAGTCATTGGAGTAATGCTGAGATATCCAAACCTGTTATGCAATTAAGGAGTCTCCCTGATTTAGGGGAAACGTGGGGTGGAGATTTTGCTCCCTTAGGGATTCCCTTTACCATGGAAAGTTTAATGAGACTCCGGTGGGAAAACTTGTTCATGGTAACATGTGTATCGGTATCAACCGGAATTGATGTAATGATGTGCTTGATGTGTGGAAAAGATTTCAGAAAAGGTTCTTGAGCATAAAGAGAGGTTTGTATGCCCCTTGTGTCCAGCAGAGCTTTTAAAGAAATTGTGCCAGGACAGGGCACCCCCAAGTGTCAGTGTGTCAGTGTTCTGGCCCCCCAAGTGTCAGCGTGTCATTGTTCTGGGACCCCTAAGTATCAGTGTGTCATTGTTCTGGGACCCCCAGTGTCAGTGTGTCAGTGTTCTGGCCCCCCAAGTGTCAGTGTGTCAGTGTTCTGGACCCCCAAGTGTCAGTGTGTCATTGTTCTGGACCCCCAAGTATCAGTGTGTCAGTGTTCTGGACCCCAAGTGTGTCATTGTTCTGAACCCCAAGTGTCAGTGTGTCATTGTTCTGGAACCCAAAGTGTCAGTGTGTCATTGTTCTGGGACCCCCAAGTATCATTGTGTCAGTGTTCTGGACCCCAAGTGTCAGTGTGTCATTGTTCTGGACCCCCAAGTGTCAGTGTGTCATTGTTCTGGACCCCCAAGTGTCAGTGTGTCATTGTTCTGGACCCCCAAGTGTCATTGTGCCATGGTTTTGGGCCCCCCA